TGTGGGACAATCTTTCAGCTCCCCAGATACTCCGCGTACTAAAGTTGTACTACAAGGTCGCCAGTTCTCAGCTTCCAGCTCCACAGATTGCTCCGCGTACTAAAGGTGTACTACAAAGTCGCCAGATTGCTCCGCGTACTAAAGTTGTACTACCAAGTCACCAGTTCTCATCTTCCAGCTCCCCAGATACTAAAGTTGTACTACAAAGTCGCCAGTGCTCGCCTGCATTTCGCGCGCTCGACACGCACGATCTCCGCAAAAGGTTGCGCGGGCACCGGACAAATCGCACTCTCGCCTGCATTTCGCGCACTCGACACGCACGATCTCCGCAGAGGGTGGTGCGGGCACCGGACAAATCGCACTCTCGCCTGCATTTCGCGCACTCGACACGCACGATCTCCGCAGAGGGCTGCGCGCGCATGGGACAAATCGCATGCACTCTGGCCTGCATTTCGCGCACTCGACACGCACGATCTCCGCAGAGGGTTGCGCGCGCATTGGACAAATCGCACTCTCGCCTGCATTTCGCTCACTCGACACGCACGATCTCCTCAAGTCCCCAAAACGAGCGTTTCGTACGAGACGTCCTCAAAAACTCACACGTCAGAAGTCTGCAAAACGAGCGCGCCAATCCCAATGGGAGCGACATTCACCTCTACCACAACTCACAACCTCACGACCTCACGATTCCCTGCGCCTGCTACGAATCTTTCCCGCGTCCACACGTCTAACGCGCACAAAGTACTGCGCCTGCCACGAAATGTCACCCCCTTCACACCTCGCAACCTCACGATTCCCTGCGCCTGCCACGAGAATCGCGCTTCCAGGCCTCAAAACCCGCACAAAGTCCTGCGCCTGCCACGAAAAGTGACAATATCATCTCATGTGAGCTTCAACAAAATTTGCACCACACCACACGTTTGGAATGATTTCGACCCGTTCTGAGCACACTCCCATCCACCAAAATCCCCATTTCAGCTGAGACCTGTCACGAAAACCGAGCTTCGATGCCACACCCTGAAACGCAAATCCCAATGGCACGGCCATCTGCGGATCTCACAAAACGCTGCGCTTGTGCAGCGAAATGCATCACGTTTCTTGCGCGACATGTCATTGTCATGCAAATCACAATGGAATAGCGGCGCAAACTGACACGTGACACATCCATGCAAAGTCACTTGCAAAAGCTTCCCCCAATGGCAGCGAATTTGAGACGCAACGACGACGACAAACGACGACAGACGACGACAGACGACGCAAGCCATGCAAACACAGCTCCAACCCCCAGACCCCCAACTATAAACGGGAACCCTTCGCTACGCCTTCGGGAAAAAGACCTTAAATCCTTAAGAATATACGGCCCGGGGTAGGCTGCTCCTTTAGGCGGCGGGATGGTTTTTGACATGCTTTTCACATCCTGGGAATGGCGACTTCTCATCCTGGTAGAGTACTCCAAAGTAAAGGTGTGTTTACACTCGATGGCCTCCAACCTAATAGCGATGGCCTCCAACCTGGTCGCGATGGCCTCCAACCTATAGTAGCGCTCAGTGCTCATGCGTTTTTGTTAATGACTGCTTCTTCTATCTTCGTCTGGTGACTCTTCGCCCGGCAGATGGAAAACTCAGGAGCCTTTATTGCCTGAGTTGCCCGTGGCCATTTTGTCGCGTCGATTCGCTCGACCCTGCGTCAAGCCGGACCCCCTTGCGGGGTCACCATGAATCCCATGAGACAGAGGTCAACGGCCCCAACATCGGCCAAGGGCCCAGTCGTCTCCGGTTGCGGAAAGGACACCACATCCGTAGCTAAGGTCAAGGTTTTTTCTTGGTTCTATACTGACTGACAACTGATGGAGACGCGCTTGGTCAGCTTGTCTTTAGCTTCCGACCCTTCTGAAAGTTTTTTGGCTAAAGCAGTTGGGACAGCCAGCAGTCTCTGACAATGGGTGGCCAGTGGTGCGAGTCATGTCTGCAACCGAAGCTTAAAGAGTGCCAAGGCCGAAACTGCCTTCCAAAAGGCCGAGATAGGACCCCTGTGCCCTGTGCAGTGGAGTCGCACGTGCGCAGATAGGTGGTATTCTACACGTGCGCAAATCGGCATGTTAGAAAACTGTGCCACTTTGAAGGCAAGTGCTGCAGCAAGTTTGCAACTTGGAAGCGCAAGTACCCTGCCTGTGTTTGAGAGCAGAGCAGGATATAATCTGCATTCAACACTTCCTTTGCCTCTACCACAGAGCACGTCACGCGAATCAATATGCCCACCATTTCGCACACGACCAGCTTCTTTGATGTTTGTTATTATCTGAAATCTTGGGCTTCATTTTGTTTCCACACCCAAACCTGGATTTGGGGATAGATTCCAAATCGAAGTGCTCCAGTCCCTTTCTCGGTCCATTTCTAAAGGACGGAGAAGACTCCTCCACCGATATCTTCGGAACCCGTCAGAACGTGGGCTGAACACATTTGCCAAAGGAACTGCAATAGGTACAGCCCATAATGTGTCACACATACATTTGCTTTTGTCAAAGATGGCTGAACACTAATGTGTCACACATGCATTTGCCTTTGTCAAAGATGGCTGAACACTAATGTGTCACACATAC